GCCCGGAATTGCGGGAGGTAGTATGATGTAAGTGAAATTTTTTTTTTGTTGCACTACTTATGATTGCCAGTGTATATCAAATAACGCTTCTACAATCATAAAGAAAATAACCCCACCAAATAAACAATAGGTACGATACTTGTCCTTTGGATCGTATTTATTTGCCAATGGAATCATCCCATGCAAAACAGTATAAAGCAAGACTCCTGAGACGATGGAAAATATGATCGCAGAGATACCATAATTCCAATAAGTTACAAAAAGAACGTAACCAAATATTGCACCCAACATTTGTGCTGAGATACCAATACTTCCGGCAATTAGAAAAGCTTTCAATCGTGAACCGGTAGAAAGGTAAATTGGTAACGAAATGATTAAGCCTTCTGGTAATTTGCTATTTTTTTTTTTTAATGTATATTTAATTAGATTGCGAAATATATAGACAATTTAACCACTAATCAATTTTAATGGATACATACTGAAGAGCAAGTGCTATTGCAAACAGGATTCCAATTTGGGGATTTGCAATTGTGACAGCGAATGTTGCCAATCCTTCAGGGAAATTACTGAAAAAAAGTAATATATATTCAATTTAAAATTATGTACAGTAGATATGAAATTATGAATAATGATCTACGGCTCAGAATCAATTTTAAATAACCCATATAATAAGAATAGACTGTAGAGTCAATAGTTGTATACGGACTAGTAATCAAGCTAATACAACTTATGGATTAAATATAGTATAAGTGACATCTACTTTAAATCAATTGATTATTTATTAAGGTATTAGCTATACTATATCTAATCCCAACTTACTGTTATAATTGAACTTTTGAATGTCGATGACCTAAATGATACGTTCGTTACAATGTTTAGGTAGTGCACCGAACAATTGTTTCATAAAACTATTAAGTCAGAAGATCATGTGACTACGACTCGATTACATATAAGTGCCGTCAAGGGAAAACTTGCTATTGATTGCTGGACTCAATCTATCTAACTTGTAGATATTGTATGCGATAAGTTATAAATTTTAAACAATGATGACAGAGTTTTCCTTGACGACACTCAATATGGATCGATCCTTATAAACGCCTTCAAATTTATATGGGTCATAATATTGAGCCGGTAATATCACTTATGATATTACTTACTGAACTCCCAATGCTATGGCTATTTGGATTCCCAAAGTCCTAAGACTACGAGAATGCTGTAAATTTTCTGTACCATCTTCTTCGTTTTTCTCATTTTTCGTTTCGATTGTAATTTCATTCGATTTCGATTCCAAATATTGTTCTTGTTCTTCTTCAGGTTGATTTGTTTTATTTTTCCGATATTTTTTAACAAGGTGTTTTGACATAATAATAGTAAAGACCGTTACTATAAAGATAGCTGTTGCTAAAGAACTACCCCATTTTGGATCAAACCAATTAGAAGTTTGAAAATCGCTCACAGCGCCTGGAAAAAGGTCCATGAGAACAAGGCCTAAAAGCACTCCAGAAGCAAGCGCCATAGAACCGGCAATAAATCCTTTAGATTGTGTTATCTTAACGTCTTTCCAAAAAGGCAACAATGGAAATAATAAATCCAAAAAAGGCGTAAATGAACCTATGGCACTTGCAATTCCACCCATAGCAGCAAGACCGAAGCCCTAGGCCAATATCGCCACTGGCAAGACTGCCATTGCTTGGTTGAGTGGAGTTGGATGAAGAATCATCGGCATTGATTGGCGTAATCGACGTAAATATAGTCATTAAAAAAAGGATAAAAGGAACATAGCGAAAAGTACTTGAACTGAAAAATGAAGACATGGTTATTCAATTGCAAATGAAAAACCACAAATGCTATCTATGTCTTGATTTCTGAGAGTATATATTCCCATGGTTGATTATATACGATCGAAATGCATAACATACACGCATAATTTAACTTTTACTTAAAAGTACGCTTTAGAATTATGTATGTTTATAGTACCAAGTCTTGTGATTTAACCTTGGCAAAACTTGGCAAAGTAGTACTTCAGATCGTAAAACCTAATTGATTATTATCATGTAAGATTGAAGTGCATAACATAAGTTTTTATAATCAAATAAATCTATAAAAAGTAAATGCACTGAAGTTCTATTTTGCCAAGATTAAATCGCGTACGTAACTTTACAATATCAACAAACATAATTTTTATCCATTCTAAAGTGTACTTAAAGTAAAAGGTTAAAATTCCCATAGCGATAGCTATTGATTTACAAATTCGTGAAACATATAAATTACAAAACAAATTAGGATAGCTTAGGGTTAGGGTAAGGTTAGTTTTAACGTTGAAGAGGTTATAGTTTATGCTAAATTTTTGCAAGGAATACTTTTTGTTATAGCCCAAAAGCTATTTTATAATTTAGATTTTGAGATATCAATATATATATGTATATACACGTGATGTACAAATAGAAATCGCCCAGATTATATTACTAGATTATCAATGAAACTTATTGGTTATTCGTTGTAACAATCCCTATGTAGGACGAAACAATTGTTCATGTTAATAAATTAAATTGGGCTTGGCAAAGCAATTAAGTAGTTTCTCGGATTATTCATTATCCCTTACAGGCAAATTTGCCTGCGAAAATATAGTAAAACGTGATATCACGCTATAAGGAATAACATTATCCCACAAGCCTGACGAATAACACTAAGTGAATGTTTATGTAAGTTGTTCGGCATCCTAATACAATACACAAACCTTTATCCACATTTTAAAATTTTGGTTTATATTTACAAGTTTGTTCAAACATATTTGTTAATGCATATTTATTCATGGAGAATGCTGTGTTATTACGTAACCTTCAGTCACATCATTAGCACAGTTCTATAACTAGCAGTTGCACATACAAGTAGCTTCACTGTCAGGTAGTGTTCCAAATCGAAAATCGATTAATCAATTAATTGGTAACTAATCGATTGATAATTTTATTAGACTTCGACTAGCTGTTTATATAGTATTGTAACGATTAATTTTTCCTGTGTCTCCTCACTTCCGTATTTGTCTTATCTTTTAAGTTGTCACTTACCTTCCATAATTGTACTATCATAGCCATGTTAACCTCACCTTAGTAGTATTAGTATTAGGCATTATAATATACTTAGTTCATGAAACCGCGAATACGTTGTGAAATCGGCAATGTAACCTGTATCAGGACGCGCCCTCGTGATTCCAAATTTAGGCTGATTTTCCTAATTTCCCGATCGGCCCGATTTCCCAGTTAATCCCGATCTGGGATATTGGAAAGATCTGTACGATCAGAACAATCTTAACGATATGATGGATATTAATGATATTAGTTATAAGACCGATTGTAATGACAATAAGGATCTAATTGATCCTGCGAATGTAAATAGATGAATTCACAATTATAAATAAAGGCCTTCTGGCCCTTCGGAAACGATAGTTCCCGATTCAAATAATAATAAAGTACCTAAGTCATATACATAACTATTAACTACATACATTTTTTATTAACCACTCGTTCAAATCTAACACGCCTTTTTCGACCTACGTAACCTAAAATTTCTGGCTACACGGCACATCTTTCGTTTGAGTGACTTGACCGACCGATTTTACCTCTCTCAATGTTGTGGTTACCGTGAATACGCGAAGCTACCGCGAGTATACTGTAGTCGTTATGATCACGCTCTAAAAAATTATCATGTATATAAGTGTTAGCTCTCATCCTTAGTCGAAAGAAAAGACGCTCTCCAAAATTCCTCTCCTAAATATAAATTTAGTAGAAGGGCTAAATATACAGAATATATTTCTAAGTAATAGTTATATCCTTGGCATATAGTTGTTTCAAAAGTCTAGCATTAAAAATAAAATAGTAATTTTTTTTTGGATCGGGTAGAAATTTACTAGAATTCATTGCTTATTATGCTTGTTATGTAAAAAATGTAAAGTTATTCTTGAGCGCCCTTTATCAATAGTAAATTTTTGAATAAAAAAAGATGATTTACATCTCAGTGAAATGGCAATGTTTAAAAACTTGCCTCCGATTCATTGAGTGGATACCTTTAGCCTAATATAAAATCCGGTTTTGAAAGTTTTTTTTTTAATAAAAAATAAAAAAATCTACATACAAATGCATATTTGCATATTTTGATCAAAGTTTAGTAAAGTCTTGCGCAATTATTATTCACGGGTCACCCGTCGGGTGACAACCTGTTTCCACCTGGGAGCATAGAGGGCTTTCATTATGATTGGCTAATTTTTGTAGAACATTTTGTGACGTACAAAATCTAATTGGCTAATAGAAAATAAGTCCAAAGTAAAAAATTCGTTAATAAAAGATATTCAAATTATAAATTTTATGATAATATTTAATGCTTGGATCCCAATAGTTATCGTCAATTGTGCATCTGGTTAAACTTAACAATTTATTGATACAATTACATATGTAGATAACCTTTATTGACTAAATTGCTTACTAACTAGTACAGTTAAATAATTTACCGAAATAATAATATAATAAATTATAGAACCGTCAATTATTGTAGGTAGAATATACGCTCATAGAGAGTATAAACAGTATAAAAAAAACAAAATCTACTACAGAAACATTGTGCATAATCGTACATGTTCTATACTATTCTATATTTAATATGCTATAACTCTTAAAACTTGATCGAATAATCTATACTCAGAAAAAATACAACTATTAGCAATACTGTTTGAACCCGTTATTTGTAAGTTAATAAGTTAAAAAAATATATAGTAACAATTATTAGCCAAAATGTAGGTTACCTCGTCGATTACTGAATTGCTCTAGCCTATATGACAAAAGTACACCCCGTAGCTAACTTCTGAATTACTTATCTGTTCTCCGAATTATTTTTACCATATATTAATATGAGAAGTGTAGTATCTGAATATGTATTCAGTTTCGTTCTACAATTCGTTTTCATGGCATACAATTCGGTTAAAGTCAGATGATATATGCAGCGTTTATGTAACGATACATTTAATGATTGACCAATCAGAATTAAAGCCCTCTATGATCACCTGGGTAGTCACAGGGAGCCACTCATATGATTGGTTAATTTTAGTAGATCTACTCATGAGTTCCCGTGATTATTAACCAATCAGAATACATAATTTTATTAATACCACAGTACTAGAAAACGAACCAAAACTTCGAGTAAAGAAGGTTACAAACTAATAAATACACACAAAAGAATGGAGTACTTATATTTAGAGAATAGATAGATACGCGCAAAGTGGGTAAATTGACATTTATTACAAATAGAGCCAAACTTATTAAAGAATCTACGTACAAGATCTACGTACAAAACATAAGCTACAACTATTAATACAGTATATGGTTGACAACTCCAAATGCACTACAAGAACCGGCCAAATTTAAATATTAAGCCCGGATCTTCTACTGCTAAGAGCTTGTACCTATTCAAATTAAACAGTAAAAAGTAAAAGCTTATCTAAATCTAACATAATAAAATAGCTTTAGACGAAAACGTTCCCAGTTACCTTCACTTTACAATATGGTCCAATAAACGGTAAGCATACTTTGTCTTCTGATTATTTTTGCACAGTTAATATAAACGTTCTTTCGAAGTGAAAAATGGCTTTTGCAGTGATTTTTTATTAGTGAAACAAAAAAGTACTTTAAAGTGTATAAATAAGTTACCCGGGCAATTGAATTACATCAGCCAATCAGAAAAATGCTTCATTATGACCGGGCTACCCGCCCGCTCACCCGCGGGTGACCCGGGTGGCGCCAATTACTAATTAAATTATCGTTGATTTAAAAAATTTTGATTATCATTATATTAGGCTGATATTGTACACCCCAGGCTAATTCCCTTGTTCAACCCATTAACTGTACAACTTAATTTTTTTCATGTATGAGTTTATATTTTTTATACTTGGTATGTTTATTACCATATATAGTTATCTATACAAACATAGAGATTGACGCGTGAGATAAAGTTGTTCGATACTTTAAAACACAAATTAGAGGTTTACTTAAACAGAATTCGGTACACTACTACGATTACTAAGTGGAAATAAACATTTGAAAATTTTATCTAATATAGCTCATCGGGTAAAGGACCTCCCGAATCGATTAATAAGCGGATGTTCAATTATTATAATCGCTGTTACTCTAAAATCGCGATTACTGGTTCCAATTTACATTGTTTAAGATGGCCGCATAGAAAAGAGGATACTTTAATATAACAAAAGAAGTTAAGGGAAGAATTAATGAAGAATTTAAATGTGTGAACATAAATAACTGATAGAAATAAACCCGATAGTTGAATAGTGCAAATTATTTATATGTATCAAATATGTATTTAAAGACTTACTTTTCACCTCAATAAAATCATCGTTCAAATCTAAATAAAATACAAGTTGAAAAGTTATTTAGACCGTTGACGACCGTGATCACGTGATAGCCGTGAAGGGATTTCACGATCACCTGTCTTTAGTTTATTTATTGATTATTAAAACGACTAACTGTATGTTCATATACATTAGCCGTTTGCCTCTTTCGAAAAACCAAATCACATCTAAAGCCTCTTGTTAAAAGCTTGTATTTAGTCAACTTATTAAAGATTGAAAGCCAAACA